ATTGATTAAGCAAAAACTCCAAAATGGATCTGTGAATATATAAAGCGCCACACAAAGAAAAAGGCATGGCAAATGCTGGAATAAAGACCTTCGTCAAAATTATCTCTGGCTCTCTCTCATACCCTATTCCAAAATGTGTACACTAGAATCTATGCCAAGTTCCATTAAAGCAGTAGAATTCCATAATAGCAGGCAAATTTCGCAATTATTGTTCAAATCCTTAACATTATTTTTTTTAGTGTCACAACAACAAACATTCTGTATTTGCACAATACTTTTTCCTTGTGGTGTTTTAACACTTTTCATCAATAATCTCTGGTAATCCTATCAAATTGCACCATAGCCTTTCACCAAGAGCCAAACTGTAAATAGAAAATGGACCGGAAGGACGAACCTGATTTTAACACAATGAAACCCATAATGCAGTGCAATTGCAAGCAAGCAGCAGGTATAAAGGAGCGACACATAGCTTTTCACAATGCCTTAAGACTACAAATGTACACTGCAGCGTGACTTATTAAAAATGCATGAAGCACCCAAGGCTTTTGTGGGCAGCAAGAAATTTTATTTTTGAATGAAAAGTTGTACTGGACAGAATTCAAACTGGCAGAGGGACTTTCTACACAATCTGCTGGACTACTCACTGGCATAGGTGGAAAAGGAAAATATCTCAGTGATACACACACAAAGTTCCCAGAGGTATTTGTTGTCATTTGTATCATACCCTTGCTGTATATGGCACTCTGCAAAGTAACTTCGTCATAATGCAGAGCCCTGCCCTGTTGACCCAACAATCTAAATGCTGACAGCAAGGGGGGGACTTCAGAAGGAGGGGAAAGAAGGTCGAGACATGGTAACAAGGGATGGATGTGAAGAAATCCAGTTAACGCAAACATATATAGATATACTGTAGTTTAAGCTAGAAAACAGTTGGCATTAGCTGATCCACCTAAGTGAGAAAGTGGGCATATACCACAGAATGTCATCATTACCAATTTCCACCTGCTGCTGTGACTGTTATGTGTGCTCTATTGAGTAGTCACGTTGGGTTCAGTCACAATCAAATGTGTGGGTAAATAAGATCACTTTGGATTGAATATCCATCTGCCATGTGATTGTCTTGACCCTGGGATCAGACTCCCTTATTCAGACAATTCAGAGTGGGAGAAAGAATTGCAGTCTGAACCAGCCATAGATATATAGCAAACCAGAGTCACTTCTACAAGAGGAACTCGTTTTGCCAGTATCTATTTATCCCATGGGGGTGGGTTACCCTCATCTGACTCTGAGCCCTAGTGAAATCACAAGTCTTCCCCACTCCGCCAAGTCAACACTGATAAACCAGACTGAGTCCCCTAAAATAAAATGATTCCTCTCTTGGAAGGCATCACTAGCTACTGAGACAAACTTGTCAGAGTCTTCAGGATGACTGCTGCTGAAACAACATTTGAGCTTTGCTCGTAGAGTCTTCAACGTGGGCTCTGCATGAGGAGCTGTCCAGAGTGCCAGAGAAGCCTGGCCTCACTCTTGTGTTGCTGAAGCCACTGCTCAAAACAAAATCAGGATGCTTTTCAATATGCCAGCTGTAACGGCATATGCCAGATTATTTTCACAGATGCTTGAATCGAGTCTTTTCTGTGTATCCTACAGACCTTTGTACCTTTTGGCTCAAGTTTCTCCAAATGGCTTGCTTCATTTTATAATATATATAAAAATAAAACAATTGTCCAGGAGCACCTTAGAGACCAACTACCGTAGTTTTCGCTCCATAACACACGTTTTTTTCCTCCTAGAAAGTAAGGGGAAATATCTGTGCGTGTTACGGAGTGAATGCTTCCCTCCTCCGTGGTTTCCAGCGGGAGAAGAGCCGCTGAATGGGGAGGAGAGAGGGACAGAGTGCCTGCTTCTTTAAAGGAGCAAAGCGGGAGGGGAGAGGAGCCGCTTACACGAGTGTAAGCGGCTCCTGTACGGTTGGCTCCTTTAAAGCAAGCAGGCTCTCTGTATCTCTCTTGTCCCCACTCAGCGGCTCTTCTCCCGCTTCGCTGGAAATAGCAGGAAAGATTTTCAGCTCGCTAAGGGGGGGAGGAGGGAGAGAAGCAGAGCCTGGTTGCTTTAAAGGAGCAAAGCGGGAGAGGAGCCGCTTACACAAGTGTAAGCGGCTCCTGTCCGGTTGGCTCCTTTAAAGCAAAAAGCAAGCAGGCTCTCTGTATCTCTCTCCTCCCGCTTTGCTTGTCAGCTCGCTAAGGGCGGAGGGCGGGGAGGAGGGAGAGAAGCAGAACCTGCTTGCTTTAAAGGAGCCTACCGGACAGGAGCCGCTGTTGACATCATGGGTTTGCTTCAGAAGTAATAATATGCAGCATTTTAAACATATCAACCCTTTTCAGCTTGTGCTGAGAAGTACTGCAAATCTGACTTGGCTTCATGATTATCAATGACATGGGACATTTCCGTAGATGTGTCTGATACTGTAGTTATGATACTGATACTGTAGTTATGAAATAGAAGTGGGTTCTATAGAACTGTGTGGTCTCTAGCAATTAGAATATTTTTAATTTATGACTAAATTGAATGTATTTATTATTATTTGTGGTTGATTTCTGATTTCTCTTTATATTCATTATGGACGTAATGATTCACATTCGATTTGGTGGAATTACCACAATCTGCCCTGAGTCTATGAGATTGTTTATGACCTTTCTATCCACCTTTTTCCCCCTCAATGAGCTCACTATGGACTTCATGATCTCTCCTTCCCTATGTCATCCTCACAACAACTCTGGGAGGTTAGGTTAGGTTGAGAGACAAGTGAACTTCATGGCTAAGTAAGGATGTGAACCCTGGTCTCCCAGCTCATAGTCCTACTCCTCTACACCTCCCTCGCCCACAGAAATGCTGCAAACAAAACATATTCAAAACCCTGAAGGAACATGCACTGGAGAACATCTAGTAGGATTGGGCACAGCTCTTCCACACCCAATCCATTTTTGGGACCACTTCAGAGCGGCCCCAATCCAGCTCAGGATCCAGATCCAGATCCAGACCTTGAACTTATTTCAGGCCTTGCATAGTATTAAAAGTTTTAAACCCTAATAAAACAGGTAGTTGGGAGGGTGATAGAAGGTGCCTCTCTTTCTTCCTGCTACCAACCACATGTTTAATTAAGCTTTCTAACCCTGCTTTTGATAGTTCTGGATCACTCCAGGCAAACTTGATCCTACCCAGGGTAATCTGGAAGTGCACTTAACGGATACTTTTTTATATACTTTTGTATTGTTGTTTTGATTTTTGCAAACCACCTTGAATTTTCTTCTTATGTAAGGCAATATATAAAGGTTTTTAATCAATAGATCAAAGCCAAGAAAGCATATGACCTTGTCCCTCAGGCCATGTCAGCTTACAAATGCTCTTTGCTGACCTACAGCCATTTAACATGATCAAATTGCAATCTGATTTAAGGGAAGGGGTTTTCTTTCCTCGATGTTTCGGTGGCAGAGTCTGCCAGGTCCATGTGCCCAACATATGACAAATACATTTTTTCCTCAAGCGGGCTCCTGACAGTGTGATCAAATGATTACCCCACCAGAAGATCAAAGCAACATCCCTGCCTTTTGTATCACCTTGCATTTGGAGGGATAACATTTTGGCCATGTTAACTGGTCTCTCTTACAAAAAGGAAAACTATAGAAAACTTCAAAGAGGAACAGGGATGTGAAAAATTGCGTTACCACTTCCCCGCATTTCCTTTCCATTCTAGTTAGACAAAAAGAGCTTGGAGAGGACTGAACACAGAACACTCAAAACTCCTTTATCCTGCCCTGAGCACCCTTTCCCCTGATTGCTGTCTAATAAAAACAGGAACTTCATTTTATCTGCATGTGTATAAGATTAAAATATCTGTCCTCCCGTACCTCATCCTTCTTTTTCTACATGCCTAATGTCCAGTGAGTTACCTCTGGGCATTCCAGCTCCCCCCTCCCTTTTGCCACAGGATCTAAGCACTACAAAATGTTCAAAAAATAGCAACAGCAATAACAGCCTCCCTTCTCTTTTCTGAGCCAAGAGAGAGAGACATAGTTTAATTAGTATAGCGTATGTTTTCATTTGCATGGATAACCACGTGTGGGAAGCTGTATCCCTTTGAAGGGTTTTAGGGAGGGAAAGGTAGATCAAAGAGCTGGGGCTTCTTTTTAGAGGTAGGGAATTGGGGGAGGGAAGTCCCTCCCACTGAAGGAAAGCATCAAGGACCCCATCAGCTACCGATCAGCTGCACGGAATGGTGCTCGAACCTGATATCGCGAATCCTAAATCCCCAATCTATTAGGCTTTTATTAAATGCATCTGAACTCAATTTCCTGGGTTACTGCAACAGATTAAGAGGCTGTCCTTTGATGTGTCTCCCACAAACCTTCCTAGTCGCCACACCCTCTTCCTCTCTCCACTCCGGGCCCCAGGACTCCTCTGCACCGAGCCATGCTATTCTGCATGCCTGCCCAGTCACATGGAGTTGTTGGAGGAATGAATCCAAAAGAAACAGCCCATTAAAAACAGAAACAGCTGTAACAATTTTACATGCCATGGTTCTGATTTCCTTGATTTCTGGGTCTTCCCCTACACACACACACACACCCTCCCCCCTGCTTTTTTCCTATCCTTTTCCATTTTTAGAGATCAGTTTTCAAATATTGGGTGAGGAGGAAGCAGGTTGGTTTCCCCGCTGTCGCTTACCTGGTGATTTTTGAAGTTTGCCCTGGGTTTCTCATAGGTGGTGGCAGCTACCCAAACCAAAGTGGGGGGGTGAGAGAAGGGGGGAAGGAGGGAAGGAGGGGGGAAGGAGGGAGAGAGAGAGAGAGAGAGAGAGAGAGAGAGAGAAGGTGGTAGAGCGGGAAATAAAGGAAGGAAAGAGGTAATTCTACAGCAGTAGAAGAGACTGACTCTTGAGTACAGGTGCAGAGTTTTATATTTGGAGGAAATGGGTTCTGGTTTTTCCAATCTGTTAATGTTTCTCTCCCTGAAATCATGTAATGGATCACTGCATTTTCATTCTGTTTGAATAAGTACCACCCAAATTAACTATTCCTTAAAGTTGTCTATGTTAGTGCCTTGAGATTTGCAGCAGCCTTTATTGAAGCTCACCAGCCAAGCAAGGCAGTCCTACAATTGCAAGTTAGTAAACATCAGAGTTGCTAAGGAAGAATGAAGCCAGCAGGTGGGGTAGAGAAAGCAAGGAATTGTCCCTACTGGGACCAACTGATGGTCTACTAAGTGTCTGTGCCCTGTCTTCCCTCTCTGAAGCATGATTTTGAACATGATCCCACTTTAAATTGGATGATGATGCAGAATGAATTCTCGGACAGTGGGTAGATTCCATGCCAAATGACCATTAAAATTTTCATTTGTGATAGGAAGGTATAGATGATGACAACGATGGTGATATTTTTTGCAATGCAAAGAAAATTTTGGATACCTAAACTTTCTTGTAGAAAATGCTACGTGTAACTGTCATGGCAAACAGATTGTCAAAACTTACAGCAGCGTATTGTGCTCCATGGAAGGGATTGCAAAGGTCTTCTAGTGCTATCTTTTGCCAATGCTGGAAATTCATTGCTACAGCAACCCTCAGAGGTGGCTTCTGCTTAAAAGACTCTAACAAAAGAGAGCACAGGCTGATGCGGATGTCCGTTGTCGAAGAAGAAGAAGAAGAAGAAGAAGAAGAAGAAGAAGAGGAGGAGGAGGAGGAGGAGGAGGAGGAGGAGAAGGAGGAGGAGTTTGGATTTGATATCCCGCTTTATCACTACCCTAAGGAGTCTCAAAGTGGCTAACATTCTCCTTTCCCTTCCTCCCCCACAACAAACACTCTGTGAGGTGAGTGAGGCTGAGAGACTTCAGAGAAGTGTGACTAGCCCAAGGTCACCCAGCAGCTGCATGTGGAGAAGTGGGGAATCGAACCCAGTTCACCAGATTACGAGTCCACCACTTTGAACCGCTACACCACACTGGCTCACAACTAGCAGTTGAAATGTGTGCTTATTAATGGTGGTGGATAGGCAAGTCGCCCTCAGACCATCATCTGCACTCTTGTAGCAATGACGCCACTTCTGCACTACATTTAAAGCAATATCATAACACTTCATACAGCTAAAACTTCCCCCAAAGAAGCCTGACACCTGTGGTTTGTTAAGGGTGCGTTGCTGAGTGCTGTTAAGACCCCTATCCCTGGGCTGCAGTTCCCAGAGTGGTTTAACAGCCACCCCTCTCCCCAAGCAACTCTAAGAATTGTAGCTCTATATGGGGAATAGGGGTCTCTTAACAAGTCTCAGCACCCTGAACAAACTACACTTCCCAGGATTCTTTGAGGGAAGCCTTCATTTTTAAAGTGATACTACTTTAAATATAGAGCACCGATGGGTCCTTAGTCACTCTAACTACAGAATTCTCCCCCACTAAACCTACATTTTCCCTGGGCTTGGTGTGGGTACTTGTACTGTCAGCACAGCAATGGTGAGCGGCTGTGTGGAGATATTCCCAGACAGAGATGCGGGCTCCTAAATCTATGGTGTGTGTTTCTAACTCATACGCAGCATATAAACATCATATAGCAAACCTAGGAGCACAATGGGGCTAAAGCAACTGTTTTAAGTAAACTTAAACAAGATGGCAAATCCCCAGCTGTGCACAAATGTCTGATCCCACATTCCATTTTGGAACGACTGCCCATAAATACAGCAAGTTTCCTTTGTGGCTTGCTGTCAATTAAATAAACACCACACATTCCTCTCCCCCTCACTTTGCTAAGATAGCTTTATTCAGACCATTAGTTCATTAGAGCATGCTACGCTTTACTGTGGTGGATTCCCAAACTCTGCATTTAATCATAAAATCCACTAAAAGCAAAGAGATTGGATGTTAGCACGTAAAGCAACAATGCTGCACATATGACAAAGCAGCTAGGCTAGTGATATGACTTGTAGGGTTTGTACAATCCAGGCTCACATCAAGTACAAGATGAACAAACAAGACTACTATAGTGGGCTTTGTTAGCACCTGGCCTTTTAATAAGGCCCCTATTTGCACCACCAGTAGGGGATGAAAATCCTGAGAAGCCTACCTGGAGGTTCCACTTCTGGCAGATGAAGGAGCCCAGCTGTAGTACCTCTGGCAGAATGAAGGATGGAGGAGAGAGGAAAAATATCAAAAGCCCCAGAAAGAGGGAGGAGATGCCCTTCTATGGGTGTATTCAGACATGGGCTAGTGATAAGAACAGTAGAGCTTCTGTTCCATGATAACATCAGGAAATAACTATATGTCACTATACCAACCCAAATTTCATCATTTTACTGCCACAACTTTCCAGGTCAAGGGGGCTGCAAAAGGATTTTTCTTTAACTGTATAACACAGAAATGAATGCTGAACATGCACTATTTCCATCAGTTTTCTGGAAGCAGCTTTCACATCATGTGAAAGTTCAGATGTAATGTAGAAATTAACAGGGAAAAGGAATAAACTGCCATGTGAATGCAGCCTATGCCCTAAACGGCCTCAACCCAGTATACCTGAAGGAGTGTTTTTAATGTTTGATGTTTTATCGTGTTTTTAATATTCTTTTGGGAGCCGCCCAGAGTGGCTGAGAAACCCAGTCAGATGGGTGGGTTATAAATATTTATTATTATTATTATTATTATTATTATTATTATTATTATTTTCATAGGAAAGAAGAAGACAAGAAGCCCAGTAGAGAGGAAGGAAAAGTTTGGACAAAAATAAACAAAAAGTCCCTTGCCTTCCCTGCCATTAATGTACAGAGCTGATGTCACAAAGTTTCATCTCCATGCTTAAGTCACTGGGGATCCCTTGCCAACGGATTGCCCTCCCCACAGAGGCATGGCTGGCCCCAACATGTCTGACATTTTGTTGCCAGGAGCAAGCCAGGTGAGTTTTTCTATGCGGGGGGCAGGGATTATCAGGAATTGTGTTGCTGCAGCAAGTGTGGAGGCCAGATTGTGATTCCCAGGATATATTTTTATAGAATGCTGTATTTTTTTATCTCCTGCCAGATTATATTGAATTGGTTTTGTTGAATTGGGTTTATTGCTTTATTGTGCTATAACCTGACTTTGGATCATATGTTTAATAGCAGGCTAGAAATTCTCATAAATAAAATGTGTTAAATTTCTCTGTTCCTCCTCCATTGCTAAGGACAAGTCGGGGGGGTGGGGGGAACAGATGGTCATGAAATCAGAAGCAGCCACTTATTTGGCCCTAAGCATTTGTAAGGATAAGGAAAGAAATCCATTCAGTTCATATGTTAATGCAAACCTAACAAATTTGTGTTTTACTAACCAAATTCGCAAACTGAAATTTGCAGTTCTCTGAATTTTGTGATGCGGTCATCCAGCCCCCCCCCCCACGCACATAATAATATGTTAGTGGAAAATAATGTACAAAACCTGCATTCTAGTGGGGGGTATTATTTTATTATTATTATTATTAGCTGAATTCATATACCGCTATATACCTGCAGATCTCAGGACGGCAAAGACATATGCCGTAGGCAAAAAGTATACAAAAAGGCATATGCTAGGGAAAACATGGTACAATTTTCATGCTGACTTTTTTTCCTTAACATATGCAGAAATGTTGTGAAGAAAACTTAAAAGAATGGAAACATGAAAAACTGTAGGAACTGACATTGAAAGATTCATCCACCCCAAAGCATTTGTTTAAGGCACACATACCATCCAAGTTTTGTCTTCTACAAAGGTGGGGTGGGTGAGAAACTGATATCCTGGTGGCTGAGATAAAGTGGCGCTCTTTTTATCTGTCGTTTCAGTCTGTCCCAAGCAGAGTGGGCATACTGGTGACATGCAGACACTACAGAGATGAATATTCTCTGGGAAGTTTTTTCTTTAATAAAAACTGTGGTTGATGAGGGTTGGGGTTGTTTTTTTTACCGTGAACCACACAACCACACAAGATTCATCTAGAGCAAACACACATGGCAACTAAGACCTCAGTTGCCATGTCTGGTTTTATAATCTATAAGGTAGCTCATCATGCTGGAAGATGACCATAACAAGTCACAAAACCCTACACATTGCCAATGGTTTGTCTGTCAATGTGCAGCCAAACAACATGATCAAATTTTCATCTCTTTGAAACACAGAAGCTTCCTCATCATCAACTACTGCTCTGGAGCGTCTACATTAGCATTTAGCTGTGGCTTTTAAAATACTTTAGTTATATATATGTATGGAAATGCCTATTTCTCTGTTTCACTCACCTAGGTTGTTCAGAAGCTCTGGTGGAATATACACACAAATAAAAACTGTTCTGAAAATGCTTTTTAAAAAGCATTTTTAAGAAATGCATTGAATTTTCCATAAGGCTCACCATCACCATCGAGCGTCACATTGTATATTGCACACTTAAAACACACTTAAAACGTTTTATTTGCAGCTGTATAACTGACACACAGAAAAACTTCTGGCTGCTTGAAACATGTTGCTCTGGGTTTAATGCAGATGAGAGATTAAAAGTTAGTATGGTTGGAAAACCTAACTTAATTCAACAGAAAAGGAGTTCACAACTACAATGAACTCAGCACTGGCATGACACTTCTGTACACATTTGTCCCCCTACAGTGATTCTGGGAATTATATCCACGTGGAACCTTAATAACAGTCTCTGGATCCATGACAAGCAGGTCCATTGATGGATATACCATTCTCTGATTAACCTAACTGCTGGAAAATGTGCTAACCCCCAGAGAACAACAGCCTTGAATGTGCTAGAGACCAATTCTGCTACTAGTTAGAATCTCTTCTACAGAGAAAACCAGTTATGTGCCAGGTGTCACAGATGAATTTTGATGTAGCTGCTCTGGGTTTGTTTTGATCCCAAGGAAGTTGTGCATCTTGTGATGCCACAGCCTTTGTGTGCAAAAAGGATCCTGCAGCTCATGGAGAAGGAAAGTGGTTTCCATTTGGCAAGCAGCAGGAACTTATATCCAAGATGCCAATGGGTCTGTGGCTGTATGGGATTTGACAGTGAAATCCTGTTACAAGGCTACTTAGATGAAAACTTTGTTCTCTTCCATGAGACTTGCTCCTAGGAAAGTGTGGATAAGATTGCAACTCTTAACACTCTCTCTCTCTCTCTCTCTCTCTCTCTCTCTCTCTCTCTGTGTGTGTGTGTGTGTGTGTGTGTGTGTGTGTGTGAAAAAGATGATTTTAAGCTAACAAAACAAGCTGGAGACTAGGGAGGAAGAGGGTTGTCCTTGCGAACAGACTGGAATCTAAACATAGCTCCCTTGGTCCATGCTATACAGACTGAGAGTGCCAAGTATGTGTGTCACCCAGAGCCATATCTGGAACTATGACAGTGATGTAAGATTCCAACCACATCCTGAAAAACATCAACTGCCTTATTCAAAAATTCCACTCGTTTCCAGTGCCAGATTCCATAGGTGGTGGTGGTGGTGTTTTTTTAATCAGCTGGGATTTTACACATTTTCCATCTGGCTAAAACTCCTCCGTGCTCTTTTCTCACAAAATGCAGCAGGATTTCCTTGCTTTACAACATAAAGGGATATATCACTTTCAAGGCTATCTCACTCTCCCTCTTTTACTGGATGCAAGGAGGGGGGAGGGAATTGTGTTTCACCAAAGTTTTCTGCAACCTTTGTGAATTTGTACAAATTTGAAGCTGCGTCCAGGCTGCAGGCTCACAGAATTGACTTCTCAGCCTGGGGCTCTATTTGCTGCATCCTTTGGGCATGTCCAGACTGCAAGGACCTTGCTAGGCCCTTTAAAGGTCTGGCACAAATGTGCATGTGCTACTTTGCGTGAATAGATGCCCCTACACTGTAGAGATTGTTAAAGGAATACAGATAAAGGGCAGGAGATCTGGAGCCCACCACAAAAGATCCAGGATTCTGGGCTCTTAGGTCCCTAACAACACCCCTGCCAGATAGGCAAGCGTTTCTCTGCAGCGAAATCCTGTACCTGCCAATCAACAAGGCTCACCAATACTATTAGTAACATACTGTCCCTCTCCATTTGTCTTATTTGTTAAATAATGATTTTTTTCATATTAGTATTGATAATATGGTATATATTTTTTAAAATCTGATTAATTTTGTTAAGAAAAGCATTTACATATATGGGCGGATCACAATAGCTAGCAACACATTTAAAAGATTATTCCCTTGGCATTGGTCGCTATCGGGGGTGCTGCAAGGGCAGGATTGTCAGAAAGAAATCTAAGAGCCCATTCAGCAGAATGAGAACAGCTGCCCCACCCCCAATGCAACAGGGCTGGCTTACCGCATCTTGAAGTAATAATACTCATGACCATCTGAAGATGGTTGAAATGAGATAAGGCCATTGCATCCAGAATCTAAAATTACAGGCCCTTATGAGAGCAGCAAACATACCAGGAAACTATGAGCCAAGCAAATACTATGCTGGCCTGATGGTATTGTGTACAGGCAACGACTGATGAATGCGCATCTGAATGAAGTGCAATTGTGCACACATGCATGGCGCCAAACTCAGATGTGACCCCAAAACACCACTAAACACATCACAAAAAGGGCAGAAGGGGAGCGAGATGGAACAGGGAATGGAACTCCCATGCAAAATAGTGACCAGCTGTACATAGCATTCTTTGATGTTTGACTCTTTTGTATTTTATTTTCTGTGTACTGCTTACAGACAATTGCAGTTCAGTAGTATAAAAACTGTACACACATACATACATGGGGGGGGGGGAGAAAATGAGCCGACATTCATT